CCCATGTAGCCCCTGAAAAGGCTCTCCAGCATCCACCTTCAGCAATCTTGAAACAGAGTTTGCACAGTTGGGCTGGTGTCATGAGGATCTTCATTCTTTTTAATCAGGTTCCCAGTGCTACACTGGGTTACTTAAAAAGATGAGGAACCAGCCAGGTGCCGTGGCTGATGCTTGTAATCCCAGCACTTTGGGAGGCCAAGGTGGGTGGATCACTTTAGCTCAGGAGTTTGAGACCAACTGGGGAAATATGGTGAAATACTATCTCTACAAAAAATATGAAAATAGGTGGGTGTGGTAGCATGTACCTCTGGTCCCAGCTACTCGGAAGGCTGAAGTAGGAGAGAAGAGGATCACTGGAGCCAAGGAGGCAGAGGTTGAAGTGAGCTGAGATCACGCCACTGTACTCCAGCCTGAGTGACAGAGTGAGATCCTATCTCAAAAAAAAAAAAAAAAAAGACGGGGAACCAATTTAGTTTTAATCATCCGTTGAGTTATTAATCAGTCCTACCATTCCTCCATCCCTTATCTGCTACTTGCTGCTCATTCTTATTAATATTTTCTCTTCCTCCCCTTTCTTCATCTCGTTCTTTTGTTCAAATCCTAATTAGACTTCAGAGCCAGGCTAAATTCTGCTTCTCCCTGGAAGCTTCCCTTAACAACTACAGGGCTCTCTTGACATCTGCCACACAAGCATGGGTTACCCAAAAGGGCAAATGAGTATAAGTATGTGTTCAAGAAGTAACATTTATTCTGCATGGTATGGGGATAAAGCACACAAAAAAAGTATATATTTTTTTTGTTTCTGGCCTTTAGAGTTCTTAATTTTGTTGATCTTTCCTCTGAAGTTGTATTTTACTTGTGTTTTTCACAGATATGAGCATGTAATTGCATATTGTCATGTGTATGTGTATGGTCTAGTGTCTGAGAATATGTATTTTGATTTGTGTGGTTGGAATCTTAACTCTGACACTTGACTAGTTCTGTGATTTTAGCAAAGCTTTTGTGGTAGATAGTCTCCAATCATGGCTGTCATCAACTTCTTCCCTCCCATACATTCACACCACTTCTCCACTGGAAGGTAAAATTTGTTTCTCCTTCCCTCAAATCTTGGTGAGCCTGTAACTGCTTTGATCACTAGATAGTGGCAGAAGAGACATTCTGAGATTTCTGAGCTAAATTCTTAAAAGTACTAGAAGTTTACATGTCTTTCCTCTTGGAATGCCTCCTTTTGGAACACAGCTGCCATGCTATGAAAGGTACATGGAGAAACAAGCATGGGTATGTGCCCTTGTGGACAGTCCCAGCTGTGCTCCCAGCTGACAATCAGCATCGACCGCCAGCCGTACATGGGAGTCATCTTACATGTTCCAAACCAGTTGAGCCTTTAAATAAATGCAGCCCCAGACATCAGCATGTAGGGTAGAAGAACCACCCAGCCGAGCCTAGTCAACTCACAGAATCCTGGACATCATAAAATGGTGGTTGTTTCAAGCCACTAAGTTCTGGGGGTTGTTTATTTACAGCATAGATAACTTCCATCTTAAACAGTATTTAAACTCACTAATATTTGGTTTCTTCCTCTGTAAAATTGGGTCAATAATGGTACCTCTCTCATAGAATTGTTGTAAGGATAAATGAAGTTATTTGTATGGTAAGTGCTTAGGGCTAGTATGTTACTTATTTACATGAGAAAGAAAATGGGTGGAGCAAACATTTATTGGACAGCTAGTAGGTTGGTGCAAAAGTAATTGTAGTTTTTGCCATTACTTTTATTTTTATTTTATTTTATTTTATTTTATATTATTTTATTTCATTTTATTTTATTTGAGACAGAGTCTAACTCCATCACCCAGGCCGGAGTGCAGTGGCATAATCTCGGCTCACCACAACCTCTACCTTCTGGGTTCAAGTGATTCTCCTGCCTCAGCCTCCTGAGTAGCTGTGATTATAGGCACATGCCACTGAGTCTGGCAAATTTTTGTATTTTTAGTAGAGACAGGGTTTTATCATGTTGGCCAGACTGATCTTGAACTCCTGACTGTGGGCCAAGATGGCCAGGTGCAGACCTATGTTATTTCTAGTTAAATGATTACAAGCTTGTATCATGTGATCCACCTGCCTGGGCCTCCCAAAGTGTTGGGATTACAGGCATAAGCCAATGCACCTGGCCTACCATTACTTTTAAAAGGCAAAAACCACAGTTACCTTTGCATCAACCTAATACTTCTAATACTGCTGCTATGTGCCACAGGCCCTATGCTACATTTTCACGTACATGATCTCTCTTGTTTTTCACAAAAACCTTGTTAGGCACATGTTTTTGTCCTCAGCATTGAGCTGAGATTCAGAGAGGTTAAGTGGTTTACCCAAGGTCTTACAGCCAGCAGGTAGTGCAAGTAGGCTTCAAACTCCTGGCTGTCTCACTGCAAAGCTCATTCCTTTTTTCTACTTTTCCACACACTTTGGATAGAGGGGCTTCCTGAAATCTTCCAAAGTGTGATAACTCTTTTCAGCAAGAAATTACATAATCAGTCAGATCCTATGCAACCCAACCAATATTCTGCTTCTGACATGAATACTAAGGAAAACTTAAAAACATTCTCCAAAGCATTTCACTTCCAAGAAGAAAAGAATTTACAAATCTAGTAACAAAGAATCTAGATAAATCTTTCATGAACTAGTTACTTTTAGCTTATGCCACTTCTCTGGGAAGCAATTTCCAGGCATCTAAAGTGGTGTTTCCTTTTATTTTCCCTAAAATATTACCTTAAACCCTCCAGGAAAGGCTGTCCCCCTCATGCCTGTATACATTGCTACTTAGTTTATAAATAAGAAGTAATGTACCTTTTCTCATAGAGCCAGTTTGCTTGGTAAGGTCAGTACAAAGCTGACAAGAAAACCTAAACTAGGTCCCGCATACCAGGCCTCCAACATCCTGGCTGCAAGCTCACCAGAGACCTGTGTCCAATAATGAAAACCTCCTCAAATCTGGGAGCACTCAGCTTATTCCTGCCTTCTCAATCTTTTAAGTGCCTCCCTCCCATGCTCCTTCTTTTCCTTTCCCCAGTCTCTTGCAAAATCTTGTTCCAAAATGTCAGTCAACCATCAGCTAATGGGATCAAAAGTTGCCTCACAATCACAAACCTCCTGGTCCCAGCCAAGGGCCCCCCCACCATCATATCCAGTGTCCCAAGATGAACTCCCATCCTCCATGATGTAAGAAGACATTTCAGAGAAACTCATTCGTTATTTTTTTCGAAAGACCAAGGAAAGAAAATGTTACGACCAAGGAAATTGTTGGTGGATCATTGGCTGGGACACGGACATTCAAACACTGAACAATTAATTTGAAGATAATATAAACAGGTTTCATTATACGAATTTTAGGAATATGATATGAATAGTCTGTTGTTTTGAATTCCAGAATGTCCCTCCCCATACGGCTCACCAACCCCCCTGCCTACTGGCCCCTTACTATGAGCTGGCACTTCTCACTACTCTCTCTCCTGCTGGTTGTTTTCTGCATCCCTGTCTGCTGTTAAGAGTACAAATGAACTCACTCTGTGACTGGCCTCATGTGGTTGCCTTGCCTACATTTATTCTGGTTTTCTATTGTGTTGCTGACACATTTTTAAGAGTTCCATTATGTTGGAGCTTTCTTTTTCTACTCTCTTCAGAAAAAAAAAAAAAAGACTTTTCAAAAGAAACGTCTTTTTAAAAATGTTTTTGTTTAAAGAAATAAGATTCCCTCTGGTTATTTGTCCTCTTTCACAATTACAGCCATGTAATCCATGAGGAATCCATTAATGCGTAAGAGGCTTCGAAGCTGCTGTGTGTGTGTGCGCATGTGTGTATGTGTGTGCACACGCTGTTTTTTCTTACTCTTTCTTTCAGAATATTGCTGCTGCCAACCACTGATTTAGGAATGTTTAGGGGTATATGCCAACTCAATAATCAAATCATTTTGGTACTGGGATCCCAACCACAGTCTCTGCAGACCAGTGGAATTTATTGCTTGCTCCAGTTACATTAAGCAATAGTACCAACAGCATTTTGAATTAAGCAGGGTCTGATAAGATGTGATAGAATGTCAGGATAATTCATCTTGATCATAAAACAGTGCTTGTTTTTGAATCTGAAATGTTAAAAGCACAAACAGCCTGATGATCACGTTCTCCATCCCTTGACCTGGGATGGGAATATGATCCATAACTCTCTTCAGGAAAGCAGCTCAGTAAAAACTGATGGTTTTCTGCTACACACACGTCCCTGTTTTTATTCCACAAATACATATCTAATACCTATTGGGAGCCATGCACCGTGCTGAGCACTGGGACCACAGTGGAGAAGAGAGTAAACACAATTCCTGCCACATGGCACTCACCGAGGGAAGCTATCTTGGCTGCGTCAATTACTTACTAAGACATTTGAGACACATACAAAACAGAGTCATGTTGAAGTTTGTGGACTCTGGAGTCCAACGTAACTGTGTTCTGTTCCAGACTAGACCACTCCAAGCTATTTTATCTTGAGCAACTTACATAGCCTTGCTTAGTTTCAGATTCGTAAATTGCAGTACTTACCTCATAAGGTTATTTCTAGGATTAATTGGAAAAATGCTTGTACAGCTTTTAGCAAAGTGCCTCATTAGCCAGTAATAGTAGTAGCAGTAGTAATAGTAGTAGTAGTAGATGGGCCATATCTGGGGTCCCCATACCCCAGGTCACAGACCAATACTGGTTACCGGTCCATGGCCTGTTAGGAACTGTGCCGCACAGCAGAAGGTGAGTGGCAGGCGAGTGAGAGAAGCTTCATCTGTGTTCATAGCCAGTCTCCATCATTCACATCACTGCCTGAGCTCTGCCTCCTGTCAGACCAGTAGCAGCATGACATTCTCACAGAAGCACGGACCCTATTGCGAACTGGACATAGGAGGGATCTAGGTTGTGCACTCCTTATGAGACTCTAACGCTTGATGATCTGTCGCTGTCTCCCTTTAGCCCCAGATGGGATGGACCATCTAACTGCAGGAAAACAAGCTGAGGGCTCCCACTGATTCCACATTATGGTGCGTTCTATAATTATTTCATTATATATTATAATGTAATAATAACGCAAATAAAGCGCACAATAAATGTAACGTGCTTGAATCATCCTGAAATCACCCTGCCCCCCACACTGGTCCCTGGAAAAATTGTCTTCCATGAAACTGGTCCCTGGGTGCCAAAAAGGTTGGGGACGACTGGGCCATGTGAACCTTCAGTAGAATAGGCTGTTTCCTTATCCTTGGTATTTCAAGTTCATGGGTCCACCTGTCCCCAGAAGGTCACAGATCCATCCTGCCCTGGGATTCTTTTGCATTTGAGGGAGAGAAAAAAAAAAGGCTCGCCTAATGCTCAGAAACCCATCTTCTGCCTCCTCTTGCAGTGCCTCCTCTTGCCCATGGAAGGAATCCAGCTTCTTGGTTCTTCACTGCCCAACCCAGTTTAGTGGCTGGCCATTCCACAGAGAGGATCCTCCACACTACCTGAGCCCTGATGTCTCTGGCTCCAAAGGATGCAGCTCTGCTCATCCCCCCTGAGGCCCGTCATGAGTTGCTGTGGCTGTGGAAGCCTGCTGTCCTGGGATGGAGACTCTTCCCACTGCCCTGTCCCTTCAGTTTCAGCAGAAGCATGATCCTGCTCCATGTGGATCCCTGAAGCAGCAGATCTGGAACTCCGCTGATGCTGGAGCCTTCAGGGACCACGAGAAACCCATCTCAATGATGAATCCTGGGCTTTTTTTCCCCCTTGGGACAGTCCTGGTTTCAAACATTTACCTCGGAAAGAGCACTCAACAGCTGCCACGTGGCTGCCCTGAGGTTTGGGCTGAAACAACATGACCATTATACCTACTCAGACCCCTCCCAAGAATGGTCTCGAGGTTCTCCTTGGCACAATGGAGTATGATTGGGCTATTGCCCAAACTGTGATTTGGGGCATATAGCTCTGCCTTGCCTGGTTCCTCTGTACCTAGTCTCTCTAGTGGCTACCTCTTCTATTCAGCAGGACAGAGAAGCTCTCTCGGTTTTTATTCTAAGAATCCAGGTGCAAAACAAACAAAACACCTCATGGTAGCTAATCTGCCCCCTCCCTTCTCTATGAAGTGGGCAGGAAGAAAATATCCCCCCTGACCCTGCCTAGCCCATGCATTCCTAAGAGATCTTACTATAGCCAGCTTGTGAGAGGAGAGTAAATCTAAATGAAAGAATCATGAGTTTCCTCCTAACAATAATAGCTCTATTCATTCAACACTTACTGAGTGCCCAGTTACTTACTTGGTGCCAGAAGACAGATATATCCCAGCAGACTTCTTGGTAGTTTAGCAAGAAACTGGCTAAGCAGGTCTGTATTAGTTCAAGGGAAAAACAGGCTGATGCCAGGGGCTGAACTCTAGAAGCTCTCTTCTAACAAGGCTGCTTCCTCAACCAAGAAGTTCCTACTATCTGCAGTGTGCTAGATGTCCTCTGCCATCGTTTCTCATAAATACATAGAGCAGTAAGGGGCAGGGTCCTTTCCCAGGAGCCCCTGCCAGGAAGCCAGTATCCAGCTCTGGCTGACCAAGTACACAGCTTTCTGTTGATGATTATAATGAGAGTGCTATGCATTCTGCTGCCACTCCACGTAGAGGCATCCCCGGTAAACCATATTTCACTTTCTGCTACTTGTGAGTTGTCAGGTGTGTATCTATGTCACCTTGGCATGACAACATCAGATCCCAGCAGATTAGAAATGCAAGTGTGAGGGCCAGGCGCGGTGGCTCAAGCCTGTAATCCCAGCACTTTGGGAGGCCGAGGCGGGTGGATCACGAGGTCAAGAGATCGAGACCATCCTGGTCAACATGGTGAAACCCGTTCTCTACTAAAAATACAAAAAATTAGCTGGGCATAGTGGCGCGTGCCTGCAATCCCAGCTACTCAGGAGGTTGAGGCAGGAGAATTGCCTGAACCCAGGAGGCGGAGGTTGCGGTGAGCCCAGATAGCGCCATTGCACTCCAGCCTGGGTAAAAAGAGCTAGCCTGTTAAAGTCAGTTTTTAAAAAAAGAAATGCAAGTGTGAACTCAAGGTCCTCATGCATAAAGAATTCACAGTCTTGTGGAAAAGAAATCAAAGACAATAATAGATGCAAATACATGTATAGACATTTCTTATTTTAAAAACTGACTTTAACAGGCTATTACTCTACCCCTACTCCATACAACAAATACGCTATGTACAGTGATTGTAATCTTACCTAAGATGCATATTTCTGCCAGCTTAGCAAAGTCCTGTAGGACCACTCCTTTGAAAAACATAAAAAGACCAGAACTGGTTCCTGGACCCTCACTTTTGCTCTCCAGGTATTAAAACAAACAAACAAAAACCCGACAGAAAACTTTATCCTAACAAGAACTTCCACTGGGAAGAAACCCCAAAGGAGGATGCTATGGTCTGAATGTTTGTGTCCCCCCAAAATTCGCATTTTGAAATCTTAACCCCCAAGGTGATGGTGGTGAGTCCTTTGGGAGGTGATGAAGTCATGAGGATGGGATTAGTGCCCTCATAAAAGAGACCTGAAAGAGTTCCCTTGTCCTTTCCAGCATGTGAGTTACAGCAGATGGTGCCACCTGTGAATCAGGAAGTAGGCTTTCACTAGACACTGAATCTGCCAGATCTTGATTTGAACTTCCCAGCCTCTAGAACTATGAGAAATAAGTTTCTGCTGTTTCTAAGCACCCAATTTATGATATACTGTCACTAGAGCTTGAATGGACTAAGACAGAGGGGATCTTCACTAAAAGGGAGCTAATTTTGATGGAGAATGGGCCACTAACTCAAGTATACTCTTTTTGTTGTTGCTCTTGTTTTATTTTTGAGACAGAGTCTTATTCTGTTGCCCAGGCTGGAGTGCAGTGGCACAACCTCAGCTCAATGCAACCTCTGCCTCCTGGGTTCAAGTGATTCTCCTGCCTCAGCCTCCTGAGTAGCTGGGGATTACAGGCATGCGCCACCACAACTGGCTAATTTTTGTATTTTTAGCCAGTCGTGGTTTTGCCATGTTGGCCAGACTGGTCTCGAACACCTGACCTCAGGTGATCCCCGTGCCTTGGCTCCCAAAGTGCTGGGATTACAGGTGTGAGCCATTGCACCTGGCATTAATTCTTTACTTGCATTGACTCATTTAAGAAATTTAACAGAAAATGCTAAGTTTTTGCTACACCCCCAAATAATGTTTCCACATAGCAGGCACTCCAGTGGGGATGAAAACATAGCAGTTGGCCCTTTGAAGTGAGATGGCAAACCTAGGAAAATACTCAGGCCTGGGCTGCCACATTCAGGTTATGCCTTACACAAGAGAGAGGGGCTGAGGGGAAGAAAGGCTGAAATTGACTCCTCTCTTAGCTTGTGTGGCTGAAGCACCCAGTGAAAGGGGAACAATGCTTTTATTTCACACAAAGATTCTACCACCCACCAAGCCTAGAGAAGCCCTTGTTTTTCTAATTCATCTGCCCAGAGGCTCTCATTTTTATAATCAGTGTAATTTGAATGTGCTAACAGGTACCCTAACTTCCCTCAAAGCTTTCTGAACTCGATGGTTTTGAGGGCAAGTGGGGGATCTAACTCTAATAATTTCAAGCATCCACCCTTCACTTGGAAATGGCATCTTCTTAAAAGCCTCACTTACTTTGGACTCTGATCTTCTACCAGGGGGTAACCAGAGAGCTTTAGAAAATGGTGGGCTCTGTTCATTTCGGGATTTTAAAAAATTATTATTAAACTTTTTATTGTTGACCACTGTAAATTCATATGCAGTTGTAAGAGGTAATACAGAAAGATCCCATACATCCTTTACCCAAAGTTTATTTTTGTAAACCAACATTTGTTGAGCATTAGAAAAACAAAGATGTTTTAGAAGAAACCCTAGCCCCTTAGGACCTTCTATTCTCATGATGAAGACAGACACAGAAGGTCTTTTTGGTGAAGTTCATTATGCAAAGTGCCCAGAGTGAAGTGAACACCTCAGAGAAAGAGTCCTAGGCGGTGTCTTAGGGGATGAGCAGAAGTTTTCCAAGGGCAGTGGATGTTAGAAGGGCAGTCTGGGCAGAGAAAACAGCACGGGTCAAGGCGCAGAAGTAGGAAGTAACATGGGGTGTGCTGGGGACCATTCAAGAAAGCATGAATCTGAGCAAAGCATTCAAGGATGGGGGTTCACAGGCATCCTGAGAACGAGAAGGATGTTGTGTGATCCTGACTTCCCATGTTCTGTGCCGGGGAAATGAAAAGCAGATGGGAAATATGCTCCCAAACACGGCTAGAGAATGGCTCTCAGAGAAGCAGGAGAGAATCTCATTTAGAACTGAAGAGCCTGCAGAGACCTCACTTGCAACCACTGGGATAATAGAGTCTATCTTCCTTCTGTGACCTTCACCCAAAGCCAAGGACAGGAAGTCTAGCTCACATCCTTCCAGCAAGGCAGAAAATTCTTCTTCTGCCTAGGGGAAGCAATTGGAACAAGATAGAGTCCCCCTCTACCAATCTGGGCTGCTAAGCCCAACTGTCCTTGGCTCTCATGTGGTATGGAGAATGTCCTGAAGTCCTTCAAGGGCCCAGTGAAGGATAAAGAAGGTAGATGGTATGCTGGCAAGTTTAGCAGAGGGTTACCAAAGTGGGAGCTTGTGGGGCATACCACCTGGGCTGGTGACCAAATGGGAATCCCCACAACTTTAAGGAAATACACAACCTCAGAGAGCTGAGATGAGGCAAGTTAACCAGGAGGGCCCCAAACCCTTGCTGAGCTAAGAGACAGCATACCGAGAGTATCATTCTAGCCACAGTTGTTTGCAGGAGGTGGCAGTAGAGTGAGGAGTGACAGAGTAGATGGGGAAATCATTTCTTCAAAACTGGTGAAGATCTGGCATGAGACCAGCACAAAGATTGGCAATCCAACCACCCACTACCACAGCAACACAACCAGCAAACCCCAACAAGCCACTTGGAGCAGAAGACAGAGGGGACACTGAGATAGTTAAATCTAAGTTTCCTTGTTACTGGGATGGAGGATTAGGTGATTTATATATATATGAAGAAGCTTCATTTTCTTTGAATAAATGAACATTTTATGTATAAAGGATCAACCTTCTGTATGTTTTAAGAAATCCCTGGCCAGGTTTTGAAAGAAACAAGTCTATTCTAATTCAGAATAAGGGTTCCATGCTGGTTAATGACTTCTGAATGATGCCATACTCCCTGCCAGTGTTAAAATATTCTCTAAAATAACCCTGTCCAACCCGCAGTGCATGGCTGCAGGCAACCAGGATGACTTTGAATGCGGCCCAACACAAATTTGTAAACTTTCTTAAAACATTATGAGTTTTTTTGTGATTTTTTTTTAGAGCATCGGCTATCATTAGTGTATTTTATGTGTGGCCGAAGACTACACATTAAAAAATTGGTGGCCTAATTCTTCTTCTTTGAATGTGAGTCAGGGAATCCAAAAGACTGGACACACCTGCTCTATAATATTCAGCAGAATAAGAGATGAGCTCCTTTTTGTTAACCTGTCCTCAGGTCCAAAGAAGTGACAGCTCCTGGTACATCTCCAGAAAGCGGGGTTATGACCTACTCCTTTTTCTTTTTCTTTTTTTTTTTATACTTTAAGTTCTCGAGACAGACTCACTCCCCCACCAGGCACCAGGCTGGAGTACAGTGGCGTGACCTCGGCTCACTGCAACCTCCGCCTCTCGGGTTCAAGCAATTCTCCTGCCTCAGCCTCCTGAGTAGCTGGGAATACAGGTGCGTGCCACCACACTCAGCTAATTTTTTTGTATTTTAGTAGAGAGAGGGTTTCACCATGTTGGCCAGGATGGTCTCGATCT